GAGCTAGCACTGCCCTGGGCGCAGAGCGCGGATCCCCAGGTGAGAGGGCGGTGGCCGGGCCCGGGCGGGGGACGCAGCCAGTGCGGTCACGGGGACTCTTGCCTTTACGTCCCCGGGGTGGGGACCTCAGTCGCGGTCGCTGACAGTCCGGAGGCCAGCCCGGGACGCCGCGGCTGGAACCCACGTGCGCTGCCCCGCGCTCCGCCACGTGCGGGGAAGCGGCCCCGCGCCCCTGCCCTCCCCTCGTCCCTCTTCCGCCTGCGCTTGGGCCGTGGCACGGCGCTCCCGGAGTTTGGGGCGGAGGTCATCGGGCCGGGGCAGTCCTGGGTCTCCAAGCGGCCTGGGCCCACCCCTCGCGTTTGACAGGTGGGGAGATCAGAGCGCGCGGGCGGGAGCTGGCAGCCGGTTCCCGGTCCCCTGTGACCACCCCTGCTCACGTTTTTGCAGAGGGACCTCACAGGCAGCCTGGGTCCCTTTGACCTAAATTTACTCGGGGGCTGCAGCGTGCTGCAAACGCGAAGCGGCGGCGTCTTCCGGAACAGCAGCGTCCTCCGCCTGACTCGGGCGCTGGGCCCAGCGCCGGGCCGGGGCCGGCTGCCGTCCGCTGCAGCCGGGAGCTTTCCCCGTGGCTCACCTCCCACAGGCTGCCCGGTTTGGGAAGCGGGTGTTTTCACAGCTCTGCCAGCGTGCCTCCCTGACTGCTGTCACCTTGTGCCGGAAAGGTGGTATCTCAGTTCTCGCAGGGTGGAGCGGGGTGGGGACATCTCCGTGCCCTCGGAGCGGGACGCAGCGTCGCCTTCCTAGAGACAGCTTCACCTTCCTCAGCCACGGGTTTGGTTTCCCCCAGGCCCAGAGTAGAAACTTTGGGTGTCCTAGCGCAGGGCCGCAGCTTTCTTCTCTTGCTCTAAGCAGAGGACAGGATTGGGGCTATGTGCCCACACGCTCTTTGTTCCGTGAAAGAGGCAGAACAAAAGTGTGGGGTGAGCGCCAGCCTCCCCTTCCACATACCTTCTTGTAGAGGAGATTCGCAGAGAGCCTGCACCTTACACAAGAATGTTAATAACCAACTTGCTCGGTGGCAAGGGGCTGCGTCTTGAACCTGAGTTATTATGACCAGTGCTGAGGACCCTTCTTACTAACGCTGTGTGCTGCGCTGCCTGCATTGTGTTGCTTGATGCTTGTCACAGTGTCCCCGACAGCACGGTGGAGGAGATGAGACTCACAGTGATGCTTGGTGTTGCTGGGTTTGGGCTCAGGGAGGTTAAATAACTTGACGAGGACGAGAGTCACACTATCTGCCCGGAGCTTTTTGTTTTACCACCCTCGGGAGCGCCCAGCCTCTAGAGCGGCTTGCTTATGTACTAAATAGCACCCAGACTACCCTGTCTCATCTCTGGGCCCAGGTTGTTGGTGGGCTGGGAGCCAAATATATTCATCAATAACTATGCAGTGGCTCCCAGGGGGGTGGGGAAAGTGTGGGGGTGACTTGCACTTGTGACAGTGATGCCAAGCACTCTGGCTTCTGGTGGCAGCAATTGGGCTTGCCCAGAGTCCTATGAGTGAGCCAGTGCTGGGCCTGAAGAATGGCCCTGCCTTAAGTGTCAGTAATGCCTCTGCTGAGGAGCAGGAGAGCAGTAGCTGCTGGGGAATGGAGGGAGCAGTGGGAGTTTTGGAGCAGTCCCGTGGGGTGGGAATCTGGAGGCCTTCCTGAAGGAGGTGTCCTTGGTTGAGCCTGGAAGCATGAGCTGAAAAGCAGATACGGGAAGGTATCGGGATTGGAAGGGCAGGGCCAGCTGAGCAGGGTGAGGGAGCTCTGCGAAGTGACCTGGTTCTGGCCTCCAGACCTTCCACCTGGAGGGAGCACGTCTCTGCAGGAGGGCATGGAGGGCCAGGCCGAACCTAGGTTCAAGGCATTTTAGCTCAGAAGTGGTTTTTTTTTTTTGTTTTGTTTTTGTTTTTTTTTTCTTTTCTGAACCCAGGGACACTCTACCACTGAGCTGCATCCCCAGTTGTTTTAATTCTTTTATTTTAAGGCTTTCGTTCGTCTCACTAAATTGTCCAAGATGGCCTCAAATTTGGGATCCTCCTGCCTCAGCCTCCCTAGCTGTTGAGATGACAGATGTGTGCCCCTGTGTCTAGCTTAGTTGAAATTTGATCCTGAGCCATAGAGTGCCACTCATCTCACCATGAACCCATTTATGAAAGGGCTGAGGGACTGAGTGACCTGCTCAGAGTTCCCTCCCATCTCCTTCCCTTCATGCGTCCTTTGATGCCCGTGGGAGATGAGGGACCTCATTCCCTCTGCCATCCAGGGGCCTTGGGGTGGATGCTCTTTACACTGTATTGAGTCTGGAATCTTTTTCTTTTTCTTTTCTTTTTGCAGAACCGGGGATTGAACTCAGGCCCTTGCACTTGCCAGGCAAGCACTTATTCTATTGTGCTATCTCCCCGGCCCCTTGAGTCTGGAGTCTTGCTGTGCTGTTTTTTTTCCAGATGTTTTCTTTGTAGACCCAGTGAGAACCCAGAGGAAGTGTAGCCTGGCGACTGTCCTCCTCAAGCTGCAGCTTTCTCCCTCAGCAGGCCTATTTTTTGGAACTTGAAGAAATTGCATTTACGGGGCCGGGGAGATAGCTCAGTAGAATAAGCACTTGCCTGGCAAGCACAAGGGCCTGAGTTCAATCCCCGGTTCCAAAGGTAAAAAAAAAGCATTTAAATGCATTTTCTTTGGATTGTGCTTGTTCCCTGCCTGACCTGTTAATGGAGACACATAGGACTCCTTCCTCTCTTCTCTTCTTTTTTTCCCACTTCCTCTGCTACCTCTTTTTCTCCTGTTCTCTTTCTTCTCCAGATAATGGCAATCAAGTTCAGTTGCACTCACATTAAGCACAGACTCTACTCTGAGCTACGTCCCAGTCATTTTTAAACACAGTTTTGTTGCTGGGCGTAGTGGTGCACACCTGTACTACCTGCACAAGACCCCGTCTCAAAAAAAAAAAAACAAATAAAGGACTGGGGAGGTAGCTCAGTGGCATAAGCCTGCTTGCCTGGCAAGTGCAAGGTCCTGAGTTCAATCCCTGGTACTGCAAATAAAAAAATAAAAATAAATAAAAAACATGGTTTTGTCACTTTGTTTGCAGGGTGAGGGTGATGGAAGAAAAGGTTCCTGAACTCCACTGAGGCCCAGATTCCTGAATCAAGGTTTTCGGGGCACCTTCAACCTTCCTCCTGTCCTGCCCCTCTTTAGAACCTTGTTCCTTTCCAAACCCATCACCTCCTGTGTCCTCTCAAGGTAGCAGTTAGGCTTTCCAGGAACAGCTTGGGTGTCCTTTCCCTGCTTTTCAGTGGGCCTGATTTATTCACAGTAGGTCCCTGTGTGCTTTCATGGGTTGATATTTTGGGAGCATCTTTCCAGATAAGTAAATCCACAACATAGAGAAAACCACTTGGGAGGGGGTGGGATGGGAGATGCAGGAGGAGCCCTGCTGATTTACAAGTGGGAGGTGTGAGGAGCAGGTGGCACAGAAAGGTCTGTGGGGTGATCTCGTCCTTGCAGGCTGGGCACGCCCACAGCTGAGGTCCACAGTGGTCACGCGCTGGGCTTAGAGCCCAGCGGATCCATTTCACAGAGGAGGAATCCAGGTCCCCTGGCCTACTGTATAGTGTATGGATTAGACTTCCAGTACTGGGCTCTCTGGGTCCATACATGCGGGCAGATTAAGTCCATTTTCTTGTGGCGCACAGCTCACATTGCCCAGGAAGTTGGCGGTAGAAGTGATTTTCATAATGGTTTTATTATATGAAAAAGAAGAATTTAGCTGGGTGCACAGGCACACATCTGTAATCCTAATACTGTGGGCGACTAAGGCAGAAGAATTGCAAGTTCCAGCCCTGCCTAGGCAATGTAGCAATTTAGTGAGAGCCTGTCTCAGGAAAACAAAAAATTATAAAGGCTGGTGATGTAGCTCATTACGGAGGCCCTGGGCTCAGCCCTGAGTGCTGCTTTTTTTTTGTCTTTTTGAGATGGGGTCTTGGTATGCAATTCAGGCTGGCCTTTAGCTCACTTGGTAGCCCAGGCTGCTCTTGAACTCTCACCAATCCTCCTGCCTCAGCCTCCCGAGCACTGGGATGACAGGCATGCACCACCGTATCCAGCTGCCAGGGCTTTATTTATTTATTTATTTATTTTTGCGGAACTGGGGATTGAACTCAGGCCCTTGGGCTTGCCAGGGAAGTGCTTATTCTACTGAGCCATCTCCCCGGTCCCCTTGCATTTATTTTTAATTAATTAATTTATGATTATTATTGGTTTTTTGTTTTGTTTTGTTTTGTTTTGTTTTGTTTTTTAGAAACCAGGAATTGAACTCAGGCCCTTGCGCTTGCCAGGCAAACACTTATTCTACTGAGCTATCTCCCTGCTCCCCCCCCCCCCCTTTTTTTTCAGGGCTGCATTTTCAAAAAAGATTTTCCCTTACTCTTTTCACTGTTCCGTGATGGGACCATCTGACATCATAACAGTGAAAAATCATCTTGAGGACTTGGTGAGTTCTATTGGGCTTGGGGGCCATGGCCCTTCCTCGGATGTTCCTGAGCAAACCGGGAGGGGATCCTTTGAGGTTTTTCGTTTTGGTCCTGTTTGCTGCATTACTATTGGATTTTTTTTTTCCCCCAAATTTTAAGCATAGAGAAAAATAGAGTTTTGATGTGCTATGTTCTTTGGTCAGGCTTGTGTTTTAGAAGGCTGGAAGAAGCCTGGGGGTGACAGGGCAGGGCCCAACCTGTATTTTACTGGCTTGGAAGCTTGGTGATCTTTGACTCAGTCTCTTCTTTTGGGGACCTGGAGAGCTGAAGAACCCTGGAACCTGGCCATGTCTCCTGAGCGATCCCGGATGAGCCACTGTCTGTCCCGAAAGATGAACAATGCTGCCATCGTTTTCCTTTGGACAGACAGAGAAGGAAAATTAGAAGATTCTGTGGTGCTCCCATCCCCACCCCACCCTGAAAGCTGTTGAGCAACTATTTTTATGTTGCCTCTTTTTATC